GTGAACTATCGTTGTCATTGCGCTTGAGTTGCTACGTATACCACAACAAAAAGGTCATTCAACAGTTTCTCGCCCTACGTGAGACCTCAAAGTGAGTCCCGAACACAATTCATGGGAAACTTTGCGTTCACACCTTTGTTCATGGCGATTCTGATACTCACGAGAGCACGAAAGATCGAAAAATAAGCAGGTTATAAAGAAGCTTTGATCTACTTACGACAGTTTGAGCACCTTTCACTTTTTTTGCGCCTGGAAAAAATCTTCAGATCTGTGTAACAGGAAACTGACAGGTTAACCAATAGGGCCACAATTACCGTATAACCCGAAATGGAGTTGCCAGGTGAACGCGCGCGTCGCTTGTCTTCTGCCCTCGATACCAACAATTTCGCATCAATTACTATTTCACATGCTCAGCGTAGCGATTCGTAAATTACCACCAAAACCAGAGTTACATGGAAATCATAGCCTAGATGGGCAAAGGTAGAACAGATATGTAGTAAAAATCTGGATAGTATAATGGGTAAAGATTGGGAGGGGAGGAGGAGCGATTCAATATAGGAACACTGAAGTGTTAAATTTGAAATTTGTGTGCTCATAAGGATATTTCTTACTCGGTTCTCGTTCTACAATTTCAATAAAAAATTCATAAAAAAAAGAGAGTCAGAAATTTTTTGCTTTGTCTTAGTCATTGAAAAAATCGAATTTCTTGATTAAACTACCTTCTCAGGTTGAGCTCCTGTCAACGAATGTACAGTTCTTCATTCTGCTGAGATTTTTTTGAATAAAATATTTTTGCAAGCATAACATAAACTCAGCGACTGGTTCATCAGCAGTGAAGTTGAAAAAAGCTAAAACAATAATGGAAATCTTAACAAACCTTGAAAGAGTTGTCATTTAGCACCAATTTATAATAGGCAAGTAACTAGTCATGATCTAATGATGTGTAATACGATATGTTTTGCAGGTACTACTAGCTAATTGTTAGTGGTGTTAGATGTAAGTTTATAATCGAATTAGCATTCACCTAGCAAACATTCAAAACATATAGCAGCCGCTTTACGCTGAAGTAGAAGAAATCGACTTGAAGATCAATTCCTAGCATCTTTTAGCAGATAAATCTTTTACTACAAGCGAATGATCGTTAGATCGGAAAAAGATTATGCACTTTATAGTAAATGTTTGAGCAAAAATCACTTTCTGCTTGAAGTGTAGATACAAGCCGCTCAAGAAAAAAAAAATCAAAACGTGCTTTTCAAGTTTCGGGGACTGAAATTTCTAGAAGGCTCAACAAATACTGATTGCAGTTTTGGTCTTGGTTTTATGACTCATTTTTCTAATTGGAAAATAAGTATGCACCAGAAAAACAGGTCCTGTAGATCATTTACGGTTTTGGATACTTTTAAACGAATTTTCATGATTTCTATTATAAAAATCATGTATCAAACTTATAGTATTAATATAGATGCGTAAAGTGCATCGCTTCCCAATAAACTGGATATGCTCGCAAATTATGTGAAAAATTTTTTTTCTAAAATTATTCCAAGAGCAGCCTACTGACTTGCGCTGTTTCATATAATCGTGCGGAAAAGATCTAGGATTTGTAGCAGGTACGCTCTGTAATTTCTGACGACCTTTTCATAAAACAGGAAAAGCTGGAATTTTCGACTGGAGAGAAAGATATTCCCAAATTATATAAAAAAGATTTAGCGGTAATGACAATAGAAAAAGTCGAGAACATCGGCTTCGTTCTATTTCTTGACAGTATATTACCGTAACCCAAGATACAGCACAAAGGATTGTGCTCTGTTTCATGAACTACGGAGCCCACAATCTACGAATCATGCACCGAGTTGTCATGTGTCGTAAAATGCGTTGCTCACTACATCCCGCTGTAGGCTCTTCGGCTACCAAAGGGTAAAAATAGCGCTACAGTATGACATTTCTTATGCGCCGCGCAACCACATGTCACTCATTTCTACGTAATAAAAAGCATGTGTGCTACGATACACTTTCCACATATACACACACGTACATGAACAGACTATAATGACAGTGTATAAATGTTTGAGCTGTCAGCCGAGTGCAGTCGGCTGTCACTACGAATCAGTCGCTTTGCAAAGCGACATGCCATTAAAACCGACGAACGGCGCCGTGTGGGGCCGTTTCATGCCGTAGCGCTTCAGGTTTTTCTGCTTCTTCGGGATGGACATTTTATGCGAGTTTTTGGCGAGATTGTACGAGTTGCACGGCTCAAGACTTCGTAGTACTCAAGATTGGCTTAGAAGTACGGAAAATTGGCTACTTTCGGGGTATGAAAGGAATTAAATGGCTTGAATGGGCAGATGAACAGATTGGGAGATTGCAGATAAGTAGGCAAGCCCAAAACCCTTCATAGAAAGAAAAAGCATATGGAGCGAGGAACGCAGAAGTGCATATGCAATACTGAAAGCGCTAAAGATTATAAAACCCGCCACCGGAAGTTTCATCCGGACATCTGTCACAAAAAGCGCTTGCACTTCATGTGAAAATGAGGCACTTCCCGCGTATACGAAAAGGAGCAGTGTGATAGGATGGCATTTTTAATGGGCTACTGCTATCTATACTGCTCTTTTATGAAAGCTCTAAAGAGCATCGAATGGCGCAAATGAATAAAAGACACAAAGACACAGCAGAAATGAAACTGAACACTGAAAATTTGTATGAAAAGCATGAAGAAAGCAGCAAAAAGTTTCTTGGGATCTGGTACGAAATTTTTTAAAATTTTTACTTGGTGCAAAACACAAGTGATTTATTTATATGGGGTGAATAAACAAAACAATTTCATTAACTTTATACAGATCTAGCTTAGCTTCACAAACAAATTTTTTAAAGGCATGGGTTCTAAAATCGCGAACAATTCAAAAACCATCCCACAAATTTTGAGGGATAAATCCCAGTCTTTGAGTATTGAAAATATTTTGAAATCACCCCTTATAAAAAATTCTGATAGCGCCCGCTGCTATGTATATGTATTAGGTTGGCGGATAATTTCTGTTACAGTTTTATGTGAAATTCCGAAAAATTTCAGAAGTTCCCTAGAATCATCAAAGTTGATGTAGGCCATCAGGTCGTACACGATATTTCAATGATGCCGCATTTACACAAATAGCCAGCATATTTACGACAACTTAACAAGCACACTTAAAATTGTAAGTTTTTCTTCGATTTTTTGCTCTAATGTGTTTATTTTTCCCAAAATTTTTCTAGAACTTATTATCCCATCCTCTCTTTTATGGCAGCACATTGGTGCCTCTAGCATGCTAAAAACAAGGGGTGAAAAACAAATCATAAAAATCAACAATTAATCTAGAAATTTCCTTTTGGTGTGCTTCAAATAGGAAAATGGATGATAAAAAAAACTTAAGTTTGGATATTAAGTGGATAAGCTTTACGATAATAACAAATGAGTAAATAATTTTCAGTTGTGAAAAAGCTACGAAGTGAATGTCTAACTTGAAAAAGCAATAGGATAACCTCTTAGCAGGAATTTTACGGCACTTTGGCATCCCTAATTTACCAATATTCTAAACAAATTCTGGAGTAAATCAAAAACTTTCGACTTCTCAGACAATTCAGCGGAACATCCGCAGGACAAGCAAAATGCAGCGATTCCACAGAATTTTGCTTACTATTGCAAAAGTGGAAACGTTGAATATGGGGACTTCCGCAGGATTTTTACGTCAGACTGGTCGAACGGGAGTTTTCGCAGGATTTTTTACAAACGCTGCGCTATTTTTGAAAAATGCCAGCGGTTCCGCAGCACTTTGACTTGTCAGTACTTCCGCAAGGTTCTGAAGTTGTCTAGTGTCTAGTTTTATGTTGTCTTGTATCCTGCGGAACTTTCCCAAACGTTTTGCGGTTAAACATGCAACATGCATTTCTCACATTCAAATATCGTACAGTAGCCATAGTGCCTCCGTTCCTCCATCTTTTTCTCATCGCAGCCCATGGCTAACCTTTACGCCCGAAGTTATGCGCTCTTTATTACTCATATTCTGTCTGCCATGACCTTCGTCCGTAGCGCATTGAGTAACACTGCGTACACTGGTTACGTCATCTTATCACATCCTAATAGAGACAAAGTTTGTCTAAGCGTAGCGAGTAATACACTAAAGATAGCATCCTAGGATATGGCATAGGGGAATTGCAAAGTTTTCCGTTTCCTGCGCGAAAACAAAAGCAGAGAATGTGAAACAATGGATGACCCTTATGGAACAACAGTGAGAGGTTCTGAAAAAAACAAGCAACGTCCGCCGAAGAACAAAAGGAAGCTCGAGCGAGGCGCTGACGAAAGGACAAAGCCGTTGATTCATAAGGCGTTATGATGATTCGAAACAGCTTGGGACCTTCAAATTTGGCAACAGCAGAGTTTACTGAGAGAGTAGGGTGTCTGTACTAATATACCTTATTCCTTTACACAAAAGAAACAAGAAGAAAATTTTGATTTCGACTAGCAAAACACACCTGAGCACACAGCTTACACGATCTTCTTCTGCGTTCGACGTTGTGCATGTCAGCTCGTGCCAGCGCCGTGCTGAAAGTTGATCGATTAATATGGGACGAGCCCATATGGGAGCTGGCACGGCGCTGGCACACGGACTACTTCTGGAAGCAGTCCTAGCGACCAGATTTGTACATACTACCCACGATGTTTATGCATCAAGATTTTCATCCTTATGGATGACTTCTGTGAAAAAAAAATCGCTTTTTTTTTTCGTGATATTCAAACGGTAGGCAAATCCTATCTAGGCTAACATTGACTGAGAACTTCAAAGTGAGTTACGTGCAGACTTCTTCTTTTACTTTAACCCTTTATTCGCTCAAACCACAATCTTTTCTTCGTATTTAATCAATCGAAGTCAATGATATGTAGGCATGAATGTTCAATTTGATCTTTTCTATTATCTCCACCAAGTTCACTTCACCGAGAGATTCTCAACCTCGGGGATACATGCTTGCATTTTCGCTTCGTCCCGGAGCCCTTTGACATCTGCACAAGTTTGTGTCTTAAATATTTGAAATTTGTGGGGCATAAAGATTTGTGGTTCTCTCACCGGTTCACAAACATTCATTGTTTTCGTACGAGTAAGCGAATGTCGAGTAAGCGCTTTCTTATTCAAGAACAAGTCTGGGAAATCATTGGCAACGTCAAAAATGGTATCGGAAACCTGAAAATGTGCATTTTTTGGAATTTATGGTTTGAACTGTAGTAAGATAGCAGAAAAAACATACATCTTCGCATTCGTTGTCAAAAGGATTGGCCATTTCAAAGAAATCTTCAATTTTTGGTGGTGGCTTATTTACAGCTTCTGTGATTAAAGCCTTCTCTTCGCATGCCGTATGCAAGGGAGATGGCCTAAAACACCAAACATTCATCAGCACTGGTGACGGTCGACATGCGCGGCCCTTGCGTTGCGCACGCGTAGCCGCATGCAAAGGGGGCACTGCATTTGAGATATGATAATTTCATGTCATGTCTATGTAAAAAAGAACGACATGATTCTGACTTGAAGCTAGCTCCAAAAATGCTTCAAAGGTGGTGGCTCATGCCATCTCCAATTTCTCCTAATTGGTATTTTAGCGTGTCGAAATAACCTGCTTAATACCCCCTTCTCTCTCCCCCCCCCCAATCAGAAAATTTGCAACAGGTTTTATGTAGCAGAAATCTTCAAATCCCAGCTAAACACTAGATTTCCTATAAAACAAAAACCATACGAGCTATTTATAACTTACGAATGTTCTATAGCCGTTTCCGATTCGTTTAGAAGTGCTTGAAGATAAACGGAAGAGTCCTTCTTCGCCTCCTTTTTAGCTATCTTCACTTCTTTTTTTACTTCTTCTTTGCTCGGTTTCCTTTCTTCCTCACTTCTTCTATTTTCCATCATTTCTTTCAGCTGCTTTGATTGTTTTTGAAATTTAGGCCGTCTCCTTGGCTTTTCAGCTCTAGTATTTTCAAGCTCTTGTTGCACAGGCTTTGCTAAATATTCAGATTTGTGAGAAAATATGATGAATGAGATTTACCCACTTCTTTTTGGATGAGCTTCATTGGGCAGACGAAGCTCACCGAAGGTGTGTTCGTTAACAGGCCCTGTGGCTTTCAATGGCTTCAGTGGTTTGACAAGAAAATTTTTGGATTTTGAAGAAAATGAGCGGAATTTTCTCGTTTTTCCAAGCGAACCCTTCACTCTCCCCATCATGCTAGAGCTTGACTTAAAAACAAGCTATCAAAATAGGCAATTTTGCTTCGATAATCGAACTCACTTTTTGTGTCCTTTCTTCTAAAGTTTTCTGCACAGGATCTTGAGATAATTTATGCTCTTCATTTGATGCGTTTTGCTGTGGAGTTTTTGGTGAACTTTTGATCTTGGATGTTTTCTTTTCTCTTGAAGTAGGAAATGGACTTGTTCCGGTTGTGTTCGCCAATTTTCGACGATTCTGAAAAGGTCAGTCATCAAAAAAGAAGGAACTTATCAGTATCCATTCACAATGAACTGTCACGAATTTCAAACACAAATAGTCTCACAATTTGAGAGAAAAGGCTTTTGTTTTCAAAGGCTGCGGACAATAAATCAATGGCTAAACGGATCATCCCATTATACAAGCCAAGGCTGTCCTTTACATTATCCACCGTTATCGGAAAAGCAGTCAGATACGATGTGGTGGAGAACGTACCGCAGTTGACAGCCGGATACCCATTGACAGAACTAGTGAATGATGCACCCCACTATTGTAAGGCTTATTGTGCAGAAATGTTAGGATCAACAAATAACAAGGATGTTTCATAGTCACTTATGCAATTACCAAACGATGATTCTCAAGCTTTTCTTTGAAGATTGGCCAATTTAGTGCAAATCTGTGATACACCCTGCTTTTTTGTTAAAATATGTGAATAAGCATTCTTCCTGCCGATGTAGCAATTTCAAGACCAAAGCCAAGCTTGGAACCAAGCCCCCTACCGGGGGGGGGGGGAGAGCACATGCTGTGCATCGGTGGTCCCGCCGTCCTCATCATTCAAATCCCTTCTATATTTCCAGTGGTTGATATACAATGCGCTCCAAATAATGTATAAACATGTGATTGTTCATATCCAACCACCAACATTAGCACTTGTCAACATGATATGGTCTAGCATCTTCTCAGGCTTGTAATATAAAGCAAATGACCGATTTCTCTTTGCTAGGAACATCACGAAGGATTTGAACTGATTCCTTGGCAACAGCTTGTGTTTCAAAGAAAACTTTATCAAATTCGAAACTCAATACTAAAAACACAGTTTTCGATTAAGAATTCTCACTTTATTGAGCCTTTCTCAAAAACTGCGCTACACAATGGCAGCAGCTATCAGCTAACATGACTTACCGTTTAAAAAGCTTCACAGTTTTTACACTAGAATAGTTCTTCTCATGGAACTACAATACCGCTCACATTTTTTGAAAAATAGACGCGAATGTATGGACATGTCCATACATGTCCATACATTCGCGTTTATTTTTCAAAAAATATGAGCGGTATTGTACAGTAGTGAAGTTCGTTTTATGGCGTAATCCAATTCGTGGCCGATCATTGCAGGATGTATACCCTTGCAAACTTGGAGCGCTGATTTCGATCTGCCTTCCATATCTGCAGAAGCTTTTAAAAAGAAGTCGTGGGCCTTTTTATCATCAAAACTAGCACTGCTTCAAGTGAATGCAAGAAATTGTTGAATTTGCTTCTTGCTCTACAGGATGACATTGAAAAAGAGCCAGCATTACATTAAGCATGAATAAGCCGTTAGGTATGAATCCAAAATGCTAAGAAGTTGATAATTTTGGCCACGCAGCCTTGTAGACCTTCCGCAAATCAAAGTCCATAACTTCATTTCCAGAATTTTTTGCAGATATAGAAAGCATCTCAGTGCTTGAATCTTTAAGTGATATGCATCTTATAGCAATCGGTCACTTGACTTCGTGACCCTCCATTGTAAGTCGAGCCAGCATTTTTTAATGGTACTTCGAGGATCTTGATAGACACTGAGAGACGAAAATGTTAAAAAACAGTGTTTGCATACATATAACTGGAACACCTAGTTGTAGTGAATTTCATTTGAAGTCTAACTGTCCCCATCGTTTACATTGCATGATGTAGACGAATTCCATTCTCTACATTCACTCAGTTTGAGTGCTTTGTTTTCGTTGCCAGGTTAGTAAATTTTCCAAGTTTTGTCTCTAGGAAAGCACTTTGTGAAAACGTTGTGCATTTGTGTCTAACCCTGTTTACCGCAATTGCAATTTAACTTTTTTGCTTTCAGAATCCAATTGCATTTCTATTTATGGCTGCCACCACACTAAAAGTACAATGATGAACAGCGAAGCTAGATAGGCTCAAATGCTTTCAATCATCAGTTCCTGGATCTCGGTCATTTTCAATCATTTTCAGTCAGGCCTCCATGGATCTGATCTCAGTAATACAAAACGGATAGCTCTGTGTTTTATTTATGATGATTGAACGCGTTTCCATATAGAATTATATTTGAAGAAGGTACTGAAAAGCGCTTCATTTTGAAAACACCCAACCCTTCAATAGAAGCTTGCATCACCAAAAATTCTCTCAAATGGCAAGAGTATCACAAAACATATATCATATGATTTCGGAATTTATGCAAACTTCAGATTTTCAGCCTAACCCAGAATGTCGTCCTTGAACGATTTTACTCCCTTATATATCTGTATCCATTTTTTACTGGAATGTCGCCACGATGCTACTGCCTTCAGAATCTCATCTCTACGAGTGTAATGGAATCGAAAACGAAAAAAATTTCAAGAATTTTGAAGAACAATGCTGAGCTTTATACTGACAAATCTTTCTGAAATTAGACAATGCAAGCGTTACGTAAAAGCAAGCACAATTGCAAATCGCCAGCTCAATGATGAACCTATGTAATTATTCTCAAACAGCGAGCAGCATACGGATTGGAAAATGCAACGACATCGCAGATTTTCTCCTGGTTCATTTATTAAGTTGGCTAAAAAAAGTTCGATCTTCTTTTCATGCAACTCTCCTTAGAAATATTTGCTGTTGTTTCTTAACTATGATTTCCTGCGGGAAAGTCTTCAAAGCTTTTACTATCATACATCAACTATCAGAAATTTCCTAATATCAGAAAAGAAATTTATGCTCTATGGCCAGGACCCAGCACAAGGTAGCATCTGAGAAATTCAGAAACGAAGTCTCCTTGACATTTCAAAAAATTACGAGTTACCTTTTGTAGTGTTTGTAGAAGCACTTCTGATGACCCGCAACAAAAAAAATAAATGAAGTAAAAAAAGACAAGAATAACGCAAAGATCACGAAACAAAATAAAAAAAAAGGCTGTTTTTATATCATCAAGAGCTGCAGCAAAGCATAGGGGACAAAACTTAAATTAAGGTGATACTCATAGAAGCTTGATCTAAAAATAGATCTATGTAAAGAGATTTGAAAAAATGTGAGGGGGAAGATTTGTGAATATTCATGACTTTGCTAGTCCCGCGCAACCTCAGGGTGCTCCCAAGTTGCGCTAGAGCAATCTAAAATCGAAAAACACTTACAACTCCTCGCGTTCACATAACTTTTTTTCATAAATTTTCTACTTCTCTTTTGATCATCGCCGCGGATGTACACAGCCAATATTGCTTATTCGTTGTAAACGAACCGAATATTTATATTTTTTTGCATATTGATTGTGTTTTGGCACGTGAAATCGTGTGCAACCAGGTATGCACTAGACGTGTTTATAACGTGTTAATACTGCTCTTAACTGTAAGTTTTCACATTCCAATTCTCACTGTCGTTTCCGTAGATACTAAACATTAGAAAAGTTTGTCTATGGCACTTGTAGAAGCCGCAAATGCAAAGACCGAAATATCTATTAGCCAATTCAATATAATTAACAATTTCTTTGTTTTATTAAGAGGAATAATTTTTTACCCGACTCTTACTGCCACTATTGCCGGACGGTAGAGCAATTGATTTGGATGGGTCACAAGAAGCTGTAAGTGTCTAATCTATGTCTTGAAATCTTGTCGCGTATTACCATTGCCTCCTCTCTCTTTTTCAAACCCCTAATAAAATAGAATTCACTGCCACCCATCAGCTGACGACTTCTGCTCATGAGTGCAATAATCACTGTGTTTTCCAGCGTTTGTAAAGGTCTGTATAGAATTGGGGGTGGCAGTGAATTGATCACAGCAACTTTTGTCCTGGATGCAATTCAGATACAAATTCAAAACGCAAATAGCACGTGCAGTCACTTCAATGTGAAGCATTCTATAGGATAAAGCGCTCAGTTTTGCAATACATTTGCAGGGAAGTATCAGTCAAGAACAAAAATAGAAGCAATTGAGTGGCAGAGTGTTAAAGAGAGGACATTAGAGGACATTACACTCGCCATACCTTCGATAGTCTAGAGACAGAGCGTCAAAAGTGAAGGTTGTTTGAACATCCAACGTCATAAATAGTGAAGGTTGTTTAAAAATGATCAGAGAAGAGAATACGACGCAAAACAGAAATAAAAAGCAAAAGAAACTGCTGAAAACCTTATAAAAATGCTGCAAAGAGGTCTGAAATCTTTCATTTGGCGGTTTTTCAAAGTGCAAGCTTTCGCTGACCAGCAATTCGCAACACGGGGTTTTGATTTTTGATGCGTCCTTTACATTTTTACCCCCGCATTGACGTTCCTGTTTGCTGGGACGTTGTCTAGATTGTTGCGCTTACTGTTCTGAGCAACAATCGCCCAAGCTGGAAAAAAATCGATGCGAAAGCACTGAAACAGAACAAGGTAGAGAAAAACGCACTTTTTTATGACTTTCGCAAAAAATTCCACCATAATCGAAGAGGTAAGGGCTGGGTGGTTGTCTGCATTATGAACAGAAGCAAGATCTATAGAATGCATGAAAAACTGCGTAAAAATACCCTAATTTCCGGGGTATAAGGCGCAGTAGCTTTCATCGCTCGCGGACTGATGTGCGATGACGTTTGCGGTGCGCGACGCCGCACAAGCTGTATACAGAAAATCTCTACCTTTTCTTTTATCAAGAATGACAAGAATAGGACAGCAACAGCCCCTTCAAAATATCAGTAGTATCACTGTAAAGAAAGGACCGTTTCACTACCAGTAGCGTTATTGGAAACGAAGGAAAGCACAAAATGCAGCACAGGCAATATCATTGGAAACAAAAGAAAGAATCATCTAAACATCATAAACACCACTGAAAACAGCTTCCTCTTATCAGTAAAAACGATCTGAAAGTATACGTTCAAAGAAGAGTAAGTACCTGGGCATGATTTATAAGAAGTGAAGAATAATCACAGCACACTGAGTCTTCAGCTTTCTAGATTAAGAGAGCAATCATTTAGAAAGCGTTTTCGCGCCATTGTTCGCTGCGGTGGGTGCGCCTTATACAAGGTGCGCCTTATACCCCGGAAATTAGGGTAGTTAAACTGGGAGAAAAATAAGAGATTTTCGAAAACAAGGCTTTTGCCGGATTTCTCGATTAAATCAAAAGATGTGGTTTTGGGACGTTGTCAGCGTGAAAATAGAGATCAAGAGCTCCAAAATGATATATAGCTTGGTAAAACTGGATTCGAAACAGCGAAGAAAAGGGTACCAGAGCCAAATGCCCCGCGCCCCGCGCCCTGCGTTTGGGGTAGCGAGGTAGCGCACAGCGCGCGGAGACGCA